CAGCTGATCAGCTGTTTGTCGGCTCAGCGCGGCAGCCATGTAAATTTAAATGAAGCCGCGATCATTTAAATCGCGGCTTCATTTGCCTTTGCCAAAACAACAAATCTACATGGCTCCGTCGACGGAGCCATGTAGTTTAGACGTACCCTGAGTGGATGTTTTCAGAGAACTATCCACAGTGGCTCCAAAATCTCTCTTGAGATCCCATCCAGCATTTGATACATGTAATTGGGATTATAGTTTCTAATATGCATTGCTTTGCATTTACAGTACCAACATAGAATTTTATCTACCATTTTGTTGCCCAATTATCCAGCTTTGTGAGATCCCTTATACTGCTCTCCTTATCTTGAGTAGTTTTGTATCATTTGCAAACTTTGGCATTTCACTGATTACCCATTTCTCCAGATCATTTATGAATATGTTGAATAGGATCCATCCCAGTACGGAGCCTGGGGAACACCACTAGTCACCTCTCCCCATTCTTAAAACTGACCTTTGTTTCCTATGTTTTAATCCGTTACTGATCCACAAGAGGACCATCCCTCTTATCCCATGACGGCTTCCTTGGCTTAAGCACTTGAGCCCACGAGTCCTATTGAAATCAGTGGGATTCTTCACGTGCTTGACTGCTTTGCAGAACTGGGGACAGTGGGTGCCGTGCTTTGCAGGAACACACCTCGCAACTGTTGTGCAGTGGTCACGAACCCCATTGTGAAAGGAATGAAGATCCTCAGCTGTTTTTTTCCCCTTGTTCTCCACTGTCACACGGCTTGCTTTTTTTCTCTAGATCATTGCAGCCCAGGAGGAAATGCTGAAGAAGGAAAGAGAGCTGGAAGAGGCCAGGAAAAAACTGGCTCAGATCCGCCAACAGCAGTATAAATTTCTCCCCACAGAATTGAGGGAAGATGAAGGCTAAACTGCTGAGATGTGAGGGTTTTTTTTTAACGAAATGAGCTCAAGGGGGACAGTACAGAGAGAGTTAACTATTCTGCTATGCCAACCACTTCCCTAAACAAACTGCCTGTAATAGCTTTCGGTGAGCAAAGGGCAATAAACGTTTGTCCTTTGTCATCTGTTCAGCCAAGGTGCGTGCTCATCAAATAGATGGTACAGTGTTAAGCCCACCAATCCTGTTCCTTCCTTCCCTGACTCACTGTATCTCAGGAGAGAATGCCTCACCTTTTCCAGAAGGTTATACAATCAGTATTATGTCATTTCCTTAAGCTTGATCTATTTATTGTTCCTTGACCTGTTGTAAGACTTTGTTAATATTAATAGGAAAACTGTTGATCATAGTGATCTGCCACTATGGAGCCAGTAGATTTCTTTTCTCCAATAAGAAGACCAAGGCAGAAGTAAATACTTGTTTGAGAGGAAAAAGGCATCTAAGTGTGGGTTCTAAGAGCTTTTGTCCTCTTTCAGTGTTATAAAGCTGGTTCACCCAAGCATGGGAGGGATCTTCTTTGTACCTGTTTGCACTAGTTTTATTAGTTCCTGCACAGTATCCACCAGCTTTTGCTTGTACAGTATTTAGTGTAACAGTTCCATGGCCTGCAAAACATGACCATGTCCATTCTTTTCAAAGGTCAAATAACCCAAGAAATGGAAATCTCGTCACGGTCTTAGTACCAAGTTCATGAAGAATTTTTTTTTCAATTATATACCTCTCAGTGTGTGACTACTTTTACAATAGGAACATCCATAAAAACTCAGTTAACATTGGACTGAATAGCTCCTTTCAAGGTATCTTACCTGGCTCAAACTGTGGGATTTCTGCTAGAATGTATGCCAGCTGAAGCAGAGACATTCTTAGTACAACAAAAGACTGCCAGAACTCTTGCTGTTCTCTTAAGTGTTTTATTTCTATTTTTTTTTATCTAGATGGATTGTTTTTTGTTTTGTTTTGAAAAAACTAATAGCTGTTTTAGAAAAGTCCCTTTTCTGAAATATAAAAGAAATTGTGCACATCTGAGGTATGGATACTTGTGAGTTAATATTTTCCTAATTTTCATTAGAAACTGTGTAAGGAATTGCATTACAGAAAAAAGGATAACAGAAATCGTGCTTATGTCTTGAGTTACAAAAAGTACTGTGATTTTTCTCAATCTCTGATGTGGCATAAACCCACAGTGTGGATTAAAAACCATGCAGAAACTGGAACTGGCAAAAGCTACCTGTTTGACTAGCTACAGGAATATGGTGTTTCTTATCCATGATTCCTCAGCACATGCCCATTCCTGCACACACACTCTGAGCAAAAAAAAAAGTCCATTTGGGTCAAAGAATGTTGCTGCTCCACTCCTCCTGGAAGCCGTGCTGCCATTTTAGATACCTAGTGCTGCTTCCAACTGAGCCAGGTTTGCTAGAGGCATACCCACTTAATTGTCCTTGTTGCAGCAGCTGAAGTACTTGTCACATGGACTCATAACTGTTGTGTAAGCAGTATCTAAATTGGTAATTTAAATTCTCATTGCATGTATTGCTTCTCGGCCTTTTGGCTAAGATGTGTAAACATGCTCTCGGAGCGCGATTTGCGGAAAGGTAGGGGTCGGGTCAGTAGGCTGTATTGGCGTCATAACGGTTCCCAAGTCAGTACCCTGACATACGCGGGGCGTTTCTCCTGACTGCCCAATGCTCGGTCCTTGCCTGGAAGCGTCGCACATGCTCCCGATCAATTAATATCTATCTGAAATTTTGTCACTTTAGTATAAATATATCACAAAAATTAATAGAAAATAAATATTAAAATGTATAAAGAGGTTTTTTTTTTAGTGTCTCTTCTCTGATGCTGAAGTATTTCAGACTCAGTAGAATTGTAGATTCTCAGTAAATGATGAGAGAGCAATTGGCAAGCCCTGAGCAGAATCCTCTTGATAGGAGCAAATCTGGATTTGCCTCAGTGTGTCCAAAATGAGCCTCTGCCCTAACTTTGTAGACCATGTAAAATGAAACTGAAAGTTCTGAGTAGCCTCTCTTCTTGCAACTTCCAGAAGAGTGAGATTCCAGTCTACAATTTACACCACCAGCACTAGTTGTATTGGTTAGATTGCCACCATTCCTTTGTGCAGTGAGTGGTGGCACAAGACATCTATATTAAAAATACAAAACCTTTCATTTAAGATTTTTAAGTAACGTGAAAGGCTGCAGCGCTGCTTATTTTTGTAGGGACTAAATACACACGGTCTTATCCAATCTTTCTGCATCTGTTGCTTATTCTGTACGTCAGGCTTCCAGTTTGTAGCTTTTTATTTTGCTTACCTGGATAGTATCAGCATTCCTGTCACCTTTTAAAAAAAAATGGGGGAACAGATTGTGGTCTGTGTCTTGCCCATTTATTTTTGTGCTATATATTATTTTTATTTGAGTGTTCAAATGCCCTGGGTATTCACTTTCTGTAATTTAAAATACTCCAAGCAAGGTGACGTTTTCACTAATAATGTACCAGTGCTTCATTGTGATCACTGTAGTACAATAACACAGCATTTTAATTGTGCAGTGAGAATGATATGTCCCTGGTTTAGGAAGAGGATAAGTCAATCTCCCAGTAAAATTAAATTGTATACGGAAATTGTACTGCTAGGATCTTTTCAAGATAATAGAAAATTTTCTGTCAAAATCATCCCCTTGTCAAAAATATGAGGGAGATTAATTTCAGTATTCTACTTGAGGGATTATTTCTTGATTTTAGTGCTCTAGGTTGAGAGACTGTTTTGCTCAGACTTTTTTCTCCTGTGTTTTATCGTCAACAAGTGAACTGCACTCAGACTTGGGACTTACACAGGTTACTGGACAGCAAGCCAACGTGTGAATCTGTAGTACAATAGCTTGCTGCATTGTTACATTGCTTGTGAATACTGCTGTGGTGCATTCTGGGACTTTCAGGCATTATTGCACAGCAAGATATGCACTATAGATTCACTCCCTGCCTTGCCATGATTGAGTAACTTTCCATATAGACAGGCTTGGAATATCCAGAAAAACAAGCTGAAGTGCTTTTCAGCTTGATTTTTTTTTTAATGTTGGGAGTCCTTGATTCCACAGTCTCGTCTGAAGTGTGTTTCATTTTCTGATCTTTGGGACTAATAATAACACTGAAATCAAAGATAGAACATCTGTGGTGTTTGTCAAATAACTGCACTGAATTAATTACAGTGAGAGTTGCAACACAAAATCTCAGGTAAGGATGAGGATTGAATAGCAATTAGACATTATTTTCTTGTTTACCTATTCATTTGGGTTTTAAGTTTTGAAATAACAAACAAGTTCTGTAGTTCAGGATATGAAACTCACTTCTAGAGTGGCTTTACACAAAAATGAGTTGGAATTGGAGGGAACACTTTTTGTAGTTTGTCTAAAGTTTTCTTTTTTCTAGGCCAGCAACAAAGTAATGGGTGTAGGGGAGAGATTTTTAAAACAAAAGTTGAAGACTGAGCTCTTGCATCCTTTTCTCCAGTTGCCTTTGATCTCCTGCATCTTCAGACTAGTTTCTATGGTGGGATCTATCAGAATTTCGGCATAAATGGTCTTTTAAATTTTCTTGGCAAATAAACAGCCTCCCGTTACTTAAAAAACACAGCTCAGGCCCAGTATATGCTGGTGAGAAGGCCACAAAGAAATACATCTTGTGTTTTGTGCCCTGGCTAATCCATTCTTTTTTTGATCATTACTCCTGGAGCTTTTTGTGCCTTATTATGTATATTAAAAGCTCCTGCCCTGTGTTTTTACAGTGTGCACTTAAAAGCTAAGAAAAGTTAAAGTTTGTATACTGTTGATTTCTCTGAGTTTGTAAAAAAAAATTGGACGATTCCAGGAGACTCTATTCCTCATCACTAGTCAGTATTAATCTTGGAACTAGCTTTTCTGTATTGCAGCAATATAAAGATAAATACACTGCTCGAAAGTGTGTGTGTGAGAGTGTGTGTTACTCCCTGTTACAGCAATGTCACTTACTACACAATTTTGCTATACTCCCATAGAACTTACATAGCATCTATAAAGTCGGTACTTTAAGTAATACATTTGACCAGTCTACTACTGATTGCTATAAGTGATCACCATTTACACTGGAATTAGCATATTAACTAATGCTGCAGTGAAATCTGAAAGGGTAGGTGCTACCAGTGTCGATGCAATATTGAATATTCTATATTCAAAATGGCAAAAGAGAGAAAGCTACTGGACTGCTGACCTTCACTCCACTGAGGAACGATATGGAAAAGTAGTGTGGTGGCTAGAGTAGAGATTTTTCTCTACCGTCCATCCTTAACACTAACCACTGCAAGAATACAATTGACAATAAATAGGATAAAAGCTTTGCTACAGTTTTTGTGAACTAGAGAAATGTAAGTGGATCTCTGTCTTTGAACAACAAGAAAACCATTCTAAACTGGGCATTGACCATCAGGATAGCATGTCTTGTCCACATTAAGCAGAGAGCTGCCAAACTTCATCATGCACCTCTTAAAAGTCTAACACCTCCATGGCATCTTTGTGTTCTAACTTGCCTTGTAAGGCAACCAAGGATCTTTTAGTCTAAAAACGACAAGGATATAAACCTGACATTTTCTCATGTCCTTTATTTCATTTGCATGTGGCAATGTGGTTCTCATGAAAGATACTTAACTTTGCATAGCAAGAATTCCTGCCCATCAATAGAGTAATATATTGAGTTGTGAGTAATTAGCGCTGCCTTTGTTGCTTTAAAAAAAAATCAAACCACTATGAATTTTTCCTTACTGAAATTTGCTAACTTTATGAACATTATTGCAGCTGAAGAACCTTCTGAGTGACACAGTTGTATAGTGGTGTGCTTGCGAGTCATCCTGAACTTTGTGGGTGTGAGCGCCTGTTCTGTAGCTCAGCTTTGTGCTCGAGCTGTAACCACACAGAAAAGCATGAAGGGGTTTAGCCGTGCTGTTACACTGTATGTATGCTGTTTATCTTGCCACAAAAAGTATTTTTTGTATGCACCGAAAATAAACTTTTAAAGGAATGTCCACGAACTGCATGCGTGTTTGTGTGGCTTGAGCTACTGTAACCCATACACCTAGGGTGGTTCACTGTCCCATGTAGTGGCACGTAGACCACTTATGGCAAGAGATAAGAACAAGGGAGCTCTACAGCCTTAGCTGCAATTATAGCTCAAAGTGTTGAGGCTCCTATGCTGAACTCCAGGGGGCCCAGGTTCAAATCCCACTGATGGTGATTACACTATTACCCTTCCCAAAGACTGACAGGAAAGTTTCACATTGCCCTGAATCCAAGCTGTGTGGCATCCCTATATTTTATTGAAAGATTAAGGGGGTGGGAGGGAAATTGCTTATTTAAAGCCATGCTAGATCAGCGATATAACATCAGATGGACACTAAGTAGCCTTTATCACCCTTTTGAAAGAAACCAGTGTTATCAATGTACAGCTGTGATATACAACAGAATTACACACCCATAGCTGGAGTATGTTTGGAGGTTTTCTTTCTTGTCCTTAGCCATAATACTGCTTCCACTTAACCAAAACTTTTCTGGGTCAAATTTTATATGGAGATGGTACCACAGCATCCTGGATGCAACATATATATATATATAGATATAAATGGTAGGACTATTTATAGTAACAACTCTTCCTATACTGAAAGCACGTCTGTGAAGGTCTTGAAATCATTGTGACTGCAGATACCAGCAATAAGTTCTGGTTATCAGGATGGTCTGTGACCACACTTGCATGGTACCAGTGCTAGCAGGTAAATCTCCCTTCCTTCCTTCCTTCCTTGAGCCACTGGGGGAGAAAGGTTTAGGAAATGCATCTTTCAGTGATTGGCCAGAAGAATATTACATACAGGGTAGTGAAGGTCTTGAAATCATTGTGACTGCAGATACCAGCAATAAGTTCTGGTTATCAGGATGGTCTGTGACCACACTTGCATGGTACCAGTGCTAGCAGGTAAATCTCCCTTCCTTCCTTCCTTCCTTGAGCCACTGGGGGAGAAAGGTTTAGGAAATGCATCTTTCAGTGATTGGCCAGAAGAATATTACATACAGGGTAGGAAGCATGGGCTATGCTGTGGGCAAACTTAGTTTTTAATGTATTTTTAAAAAATGAAGGAGGCAAGGTACTCAGTATCACAGTGTTGACTGTCTCTTCCTCTTATCCCCATAAAAATGGCTTATCCCCGTGTAAAAAGAGCTCATTTCCAAATGCCCACCTGGCAAACAGCCTGGGTTTTAGAGTGGAGAGGTTTGTTCCAAAGGCTAAACTGTGCCCTTAGTCATTCTTCTACTACTCTTTGAATTACATTTGTTTAGTTACTTTAGTTTGCTTGTTTGCTTTTTTCTCCTTTTCTGCATAGGAATGTTAAATTTTGATTTATCAACTAATCAAGTAGTTAATGGAATTTCTATCGACTACTCGATAAGGGGCGCACTCGCTATCCCTCTGCACCTCTTTCTTTGAAATATACAAGAACAACCCATGGCTCTTGTACATTTTAAAGGAAGAGGCCCCCCTGGACTGCTTAGGTCCCTGTTCCTAAGCCTCTCCCTTTGAAATGTACAAGAGCCGTGGGCAGCTCTTGTAAATTTCAAAGGGAGAAGTGCAGCAGTAGGGATGCCTCTGCTCCTTCTCCCCCTACCCCCATTGTTGTCTCTCTGATAGAGGCAACGGGGCATGAGGAGTTTATATTTATTGGGTAGTCAACTAGTCACTTACATCCCTACTTCTGCATGGCTAAGCAAGACTAAGGAAAAACAACTGAAGAGAGTTGGCAGGTTTTTAAAGGGACATTATTACGGGCCCAAAAGCAAACTATTCCACTGCATAGGAAAGATAGAAAGTACAGCAGGAGTCCACCTTGGATCAACCAGGAGATCTTACATGGGCTAAAAATCAAAAAGGAGTCATATAAAAAGTAGAAACTAGGTCAAGTTACAAAGGATGAATATAAGCAAACACAGGTGTGCAATGCAAGGGCAAGATTAGAAAGGCAAAGGCACAAAACAAGCTAAATCTAACTAGAGACATAAAGAGTAACAAGAAGACGATATATTAGAAGCAAGAGGAAGACCAAGGACAGGGTAGGCCCGTTGCTCAATGAAGAGGGAGAAACTATAACAGCAAAGTTGGAAATGGCAGAGGTGCTTAATGATTTATTTGTTTCGGTTTTCACCAAGAAGTTTAATGGTGATGGGATGCCTAACATAGTGAATGCTAGCTAGCTGGTTTAACAAGTTAAAAATTACTTAGAAAAGATAGATGTCTTCAAGTGACCAGGGCCTGATGAAATGCTTCCTAGAATACTCAAGGAGCTGATAGAGGAGGTATCTGAGCCATTAGCTATCATCTTTGAAAAATCATGGAAGTTGGGAGAGATTCTAGAAGATTGGAAAAGGGCAAATCTAGTGCCCATTTATAAAAAGTGAAATGAGAACAACCCAGGAAACTACAGACCAATCAGTTTAACTTCTCTGCCAGGGAAAATAATGGAGCAAGTAATTAAAGAATTCATCTGCAAATATCTGGAAGATAATAAGGTGACAGGTAACAGCCAGTATGGATTTGTAAAGAACAAATCATGTCAAACCAATCTGATAGCTTTCTTTGATAGGATATCAAGACTTGTGGATAAGGGAGAAGTGGTAGACGTGGTACACCTAGACTTTAGTAAGGCATTTGATACAGTCTCACATGACCTTATTATAAATAAACTAGGGAAATGCAACCTAGATAGGGTTACTATAAGAAGGGTGCATAACTGGCTGGATAACCATTTTTTTTTCTTTTCCCCCTCTTTTCCTTCCCCCCGCCCTTCCCTTATTTATTCTTGGATCTGGACTTCTAATAGTCCAGTCAACTGAAAAAGTGGGTTATACCAACTAAAGCTCATGATCCCATCCACATGTTTTGTTAGTCTTTAAGGTGCTGCGAGACTATTCGTTGTTAAGTTTTTCCATTCTCAGAGAGTTGTTGTTAATGGTTCACAGTCATGATGGAAGGGCATAACAAGTAGGATTCAGCAAGGATATGTTTTGGGACCAGTTCTGTTCAATATCTTCATCAATGATTTAGATGATGGCATAGAGAGTACGATTATTAAGTTTGCATTATTAAGATACCACCAAGCTGGGAGGGTGTAAAGGGCCCTGCCCTTCTTATGAGCACCCTTTGGTGTCTGAGGGGAGTCTTAGTCTCTCTACTAGGCTATCTGTGGGAGAGGCAGTGTCCAGTATATGGCCTGGGAGCGCGCTTCTTCTTAACCCCTATTGTGGCTGTTGGGAGTTGGGGGGGAACCCAGGCCCACCCACTCCTCTGGGTCCTGGCCCAGAGATCGTCTAAGTAGCAGTTACCTGCTGAGTCTCAAAGTGGTTGGTTGCTGTCACAGCCCTGGGCCGCTGGAAAGCTGCTCTGTCCAGCCCTTTCTGTTGGGCCTTGTGGTCAAGTCCTCCCTGTCCAGAGTTCTGCAAGGGTTGCTGTTAGCTTACCGGCTAGTCTTCAGCTATGGGACCTGGTTCTGATCAGGACTAAAGTCCAGCTCCCACTCAGAGCTGTCCAGAGTGCTGCTGTTCTCCAAGTCAGCCCTTAGGTTTGCCTGGGTCAAGCTCCAGAAAGGAACTGCCAAGCCCTAGGGTGCATTAACAGGGTGTTGTAAGCAAGACACGAGAAGTCATTCTTCTGCTCTACTCTGCACTGAATAGGCCTCAACTGGAGTATTATGTCCAGTTCTGAGCACCACATTTCAAGAAAGATGTGGAGAAATTGAAGAATGTCCAGAGAAGAACAAAAATGATTAAAGGTCTAGAAAACATGACCTATGATGGAAGACTGAAAGATCTGGGCTTGTTTAGTTTAGAAAAGAGAAGACTGAGAGGGGACATGATCGCTGTTTTCAAGTATCTAAAAAGGACTTACAAGGAGGAGGGAGAAAAAAATGTTCTCCTTGGCCTCTGATAGGACAAGAAGCAATGGGCTTAAATTGCAGCTTGGGAGGTTTAGGTTGGACATTAGGAAACACTTCCTAACTGTCAGAGTGGTTAAACACTGGAATAAATTGCCTAGGGAGATTGTGGAATCTCCATCACTGGAGATATTTAAGTGCAGGTTAGATAGATGTCTATCAGGAATGATCTAGATAGTGCTTAGTCCTGCCATAAGGGCAGGGGACTGGACTCAATGACCTCTCAAGGTCCCTTCCCGTTCTAGTATTCTATGAGTCTATGGCTATGGGAGAGGGACAGGAGCAACGTCAGCCTCTTCTCAGAAGGGGTGCTGAGGTTGGCTAGACAGAAAATTGTGGGAGGGTGGCATTACAATATGTATCATGTGGGCACACATACAATACACACTTAAATGTTTACTTTTCCAGCCAGTCGCAACTCTGTCTCCAGAGCTGGTTAACTGAAGGGCAACAGCTGCTGGCGAGGCACCCAGCTCTGAAGCTGCTGGCTAGTCACCCACCACTGCCAATAGCAGCACAGACCTGCAGAATCCTCAGGTTGGAAGAGACCTCAGGAGGTTGAGTCCAGCCCCCTGCGCAAAATGGAACCAATCCCAACTAAATCACCCCAGCCAGGGCTTTGTCAAGCTGAGACTTACAAACCTCCAGCAATGGAGATTCCACCCCCTCCCTAGGTAACCCATTCCAGTGCTTCCCCACCCTCCTAGTGAAATAGTTTTTCCTAATATCCAACCTAGACCTCCCCCGCTGCTACTCGAGACCATTGCTCTTAGTTCTGCCATGCGTCACCTCTGAGAACAGCCTCTCTCCATCCTGTTTGAAACCCCCTTCGGGTAGCCGAAGGCTGCTACGACAAATCTCCCCTCACTCTTCAATAGACTAAATAAGCCCAAATCCCTCAGCCTTTCCTTGTAAATCATGTATTCCAGTCCCCTCTGTTTGCCTTTCTCCAGTGTGTGTACATCCTTTCTGTAATGGGGGGCCCAGAACTGGACACAGTACTCCAGATGTGGCCTCACCAGTGCCAAATAAAGGGGAATAATCCATTTTCTAGATTT